GGACAAAGTTGATGTCCCTCAGGGCCTAGTTGTTGCCTCTAGACCTATAACCAGACTCATAGCTAAGCAGACCCCTAGAGGAGAGATAGAAAGTGTGGTCCATGAGGAGGTGTGCTACACCACTAAAGAACTTAGTGAATTTGCTAATTCTTTCAAACAGAAATCTAATGAATATGTCTGGGAATGGATTTTAAGGGTATGGGATAATGGTGGAAGGAACATAAAACTGACATGAGTTTATTGGCATGGGCGCCCTGACTGGAGATTCTAGGTTTAATATGGAAGCTCGTGCAGTTAAAAATGGTGTTAAAAGTTTATTTGATTGGTTGGCTGAGGTATTTATCAAAAGATGGCCTATTGACAGAGAGCTGGAGATATCTGATATCCCTTGGCTTAGTGTTAATTAAGGGATTGTAAGGCTCAGGCAAATTGGTATGCTCGAGTGGATTTGCAGTGCAACACCAAATCCTCCACAATGGGAGGGCCCAGAGGACATGCCTTTTACTGATTTTATAAGATGGAAAGTACTGAGAGAGACACCAGAACGTTTGAAGAGCTTTGTTTTTGCTCTTTTCCTTATGCCTCTTTCTTCAGCTATCCCTGTCATTACTCAATGGGCCCATGAACAAAGTGGCCATGGTGGCAGAGATGGAGGTTATGCATGGGCTCGACAGCATGGACTCCCACTCAAGAAAGCTGACCTGGCTACAGCTGCTGCTGAGTGCCAGATCTGCCAACAGCAGAGACCAACACTGAGCCCCCGATATGGCACTGTTCCCCGTGGCGACCAGCCTGCAACCTGGTGGCAGGTTGACTACATTGGACCACTTCCATCTTTGAGGGGACAGCGTTTTGTCCTTACAGGAATAGACACTTTCTCTGGTTATGGATTTTCCTTTCCTGAACATAATGCTTCTGCCAAAACTACTATCCAGGGACTTACAGAATGCCTTATCCACCATCATGGTATTCTGCACAGCATTGCTTCTGACCAGGGAACTAACTTCACAGCCAAAGAATTGCGACAGTGGACCCATGGTCATGGAATCCACTTGTCTTCCACCATCCTGAAGCAGCTGGCTTGATAGAACAATGGAATGGTCTCTTAAAGACACAGTTACAGTGCCAATTAGGTGGCAATAGCCTGGAGGTCTGGGGCAGGGTCTTCCAGAAGGCAGTGTATGCTTTGAATCAGCATCCAATATACGGTACAGTTTCTCCTATAGGCAGGATTCACGGGTCCAGGAATCAAGGTGTGGAAGTGGGAATGATTCCACTCACTATCACCCCTGGTGACCCACTAGGAAAATTTTTGCTTCCTGTAACCTCAACCTTGCACTCTACTGGCTTGGATGTTTTGGTTCCAGAGGAGGGAGTGCTTCTGCCAGGAGAGACAACAAACATTCCGTTGAACTAGAAACTAAGACTTCCCCCTAGACACTTTGGGCTTCTGATGACCTTAAGTCAGCAGACTAAGAAAGGAATAATAGTATTAGGAGGGGTGATTGACCCAGACTACCAGGGGTAAATCAGACTGGTTCTCCACAATGGAGGTAATGAAGACTATATCTGGAAGGCAGGAGACTCCTTACGGCGACTTTTGGTGTTACCATGTCCTGTGATTAAGGTCAATGGGAAACTGCAACAACCCAATCCAGACAGGACAACAAATGGCCCAGACCCTTCGGTGATGAAAGTATGGGTCATTCCTCCAGGGAAAGAGCCAATACCTGCAGAGGTGCTTGCTGATGGTGGAGGAAATACAGACTGGGTAGTAGAGGAAGGTAGTTACAAATACCAACTTAGGCCATGTGATCATTTGCAGAAACTTGAATTGTAATTGACATGAGTATTTTTGTCCTATTTGGTTAAGAATAGGCTTGTGTATGTATACACATATGTTAAGCAGATACTTGAGTTATTCTTTTTTGAATGTGTAATTGAGATAAGTGTTAAGTGGCTAAGTGTTGTGAACCTATATGATTATATTGGGTTATGAGACACTAAAGGACTAAGCATTCCTCGAAGACCTTATCACCTACTCTAAGATATATAATGCATTGGTCATTATATGATGGGATAGTTATATCATGTTAGGTGAAACTATGACCTCAACATTGTTTTCATTTGAAAATTAAGCATGACATAGAGAGGCTATTAGGTGTCAGGTTGACAAGGGGTGGACTTGTGATGGCTAATCCTGGGTGTCAACTTGACTAGATCTAGGATTAACTGAAATGAAAGAGATCTTCTTGATTGGATCATCTGAAGCTGGAAGACACACCCTAAATATGGATGTTACCTTCTGATGGCAGCCCATATAAAAGACCAAGGCAGAGGAGACTGCCAGGCTTTTTGCTGCTTGCCTTCTCTCTTGCTGGTGAGTTCATCTTGCTGCTGTAGACTGAAGACTAGCTGATCTTTTGGAGTTTGTCACACTACTGGGACACTTTTGGGACTACTGAGATGAGACATTCAGCTTTGTGGACTGAGAGACTATGGATTCTCAGCCTCTCCAGTGTGATACAGCCATTGTTGGACTACTCGGACTTGATCCTGTGAGCTAAGCTAATAAATCTCTATACATATATATTCATTCTACCAGTTCTGTTTCTTTGGATAACCCTAACTAATACAAGTTCCATGTAAAGAAGCTGGGTTTAGAAGATTACAATTACCCAGATCTCTAGCTTAAACTAAGTACACATTGCTCTACAATATATTTGATACACAGAATAATTCATTACATATTTAGATGAAGATTAACTTTCATGACCAGGAACACCAGATATCAAGAATTAGCTGTGCACAGTTCCAAAATGCCAAAGAGACTTACAGGTGGGCCCTGGGTCCCTCTACCACCTTTCAGTCCAGGAACACCATGAGGACCCTAAATAGAAGAAATGAAACAAATTCACTTACTATGTACTCCAGACATTGGGTCCTAGTATCAAAATATGTTATTTTCTAACTTACATGAGGGCCAGGTGATCCTGCTAGCCCTTGGGGTCCAGGAGACCCAGCATCTCCCTTTTGTCCTGGCTCTCCAGGTTCACCCTTGACTCCAGGCTGTCCATCAGGCCCCTATATGCAATTTTCACGTGAGAAACTGACTAAAAGATTCATGAACAAATTATTTCATAGTAATTACTCTTAACATGCCATTTAGTCCTTATAAAATGGTGCTTGGTAATCAGTATTTAATAGAGTAAGAAAAATGGTAATATCATTAAAGCTTTCTGAAAAAATACCTATCTCAACACATTTCCATCATAGAAAATAATGATATAAATTCGAATATTATGACAAATTTTGCCATTAATAGAAATTTTAAAAAAAATAGTAATGCATAGCGGGGCATAGTGGCACATGCCTTTAATTCCAGCACTCGGGAGGCAGAGGCAGGTGGATCTCTATGAATTCAAGGCCAGCCTGGTCTACATAGTGAGTTCCAGGCCAGCTGGGGCTACAGGGAGACCCTGTCTCAAAGAGACCAAAAAGAAATAGTAATGCAAGAAACTGTAAAAATTTAGAATATTAATGTATCTCCAAAACTTATGATAACAATACAATGAATACAATGCAGCTCATTGCTCTTATAAGAATTGTGTTAACTTGTACATTAGGAATATCTGAAAATTTACCTGGGGTCCAGCGAAACCAACAGCACCAGTTGGACCATTTTCACCACGAGAACCCTAAAAGGAAACAAATATTACTGAAGCTTTAACACATTGCTCTAAACAATGTGTTAAATGTGCTTTCAAATGTGATTAAATATATTTTGCATAGGTAATTATAAATAGAGAAACCACATATATTGTTTGATGAAGATCTATAAGGGAGATACTAAGTTATAGGTCTTTGAGCAAAATCTACAAGGTCAGAAGACAAAAAGAAGCTTCTTAGTTACTTAGTAAACAAACCACCTGCCTAGACTTAACAGATTATGTAGCTGATAATTTTTAAGTTTAATGAAAATGAAATTTGAAAACAAGGAAGTTATAGATAGCGTAACCCAATATGCATGAAGATTAAATTTAATTATTAGATAGATAATTAATAGTAGATATATAGATTATTGATAGAGATATATAAAAGCACTTGAGAGGCAGAGGCAGGTGGATCTCTGCAAGTTCGAGCCTGGTCTACATAGTGAGTTCCAGGACAGCTGGGGCTACAGGGAGACCCCGTCTCAAAAAGACCGAAAAAAAAAAAAAAAAAAAAAAGGATATATGGTAGATACATAGATGATAGATTCATAGATGATCTAAAGATAAGTGATAATTAGAAAGATAGAAGAAGATAGATTGATTGACTGATAGATATTTGATGGGCAGGGATAGATTATAGATAGATGAATATATAAACAAAAGAAATTGTTTTATTGTTCAACCTCACACTATACAACATCAAAAGATATTCTTCACTTACAGGATTGCCACGGGAGCCAGGAGGGCCAACTAAACCTCGAGGCCCAGGTTCACCCTAGAAAGGAGATTTTAGGTGGTTAAATTGTACAAAGCAGTAGCAAAGCACAATACAATTGTAGGCCAATGTGCCCCATGTATAGATGGATAGTGAGATCAACTCTGAAATGATTTATCTCAACCACAGTATTTTGTGAAAGAAAAGAACAGCATTTAGGCCTTGGATTTTGATTGCAGCTTTCTACTTACCTTTTCTCCAGTAGGACCTGCAGGACCTGGAGGCCCCAAGGGACCTGGAAGACCCTGTGAGTTAACAAAAATAGGTGTATTAAGGGAAAGGCATACAGATATATCCACCACCTGGCTCTTCTCAACACAAAATAACCATTTTTATACATTTTTATTTACTATTTTTATTTCATGTGTATGAGTGCATTGCCTGCATGTTGTGCAATGCCCACAAAGGTCAGAAGAGGACCTTGGATCCCCTGGAACTGGAATTATGGATAGTTGTTAACCACCATTTGGGTTCTGGGAACCAAATCCAGTTCCTCTGCAAGAACAGCCAGCATTCTTAGCCACTGGGCCATCTCTCCAGCCCCCTAATAACCATCTTTAAACTATGGGACTATTGGCGTTCTTTCTAAAATAAGTTCTCTGTTATTTGGGTATTCCTTCTTAATAGACAGCCCAGTATTTCTGGATCAGTAAAATTATGTATGTATTAGTGAAGAAATTTAAGGAATGAAAGTGACTTATGACTTGGGAGTCTGCCTTAGAAAACAAAAAGAAAAAAAAAGGTGTGGGGAGAAGGATAAGGAGGACAGAGAGGGGAAGAAATGGAAAGGAAGGATAGTGGGATGGGAGAGCAGGCAACTTCATTCATTAAAGCCCCTATTCCACAGCATAATTAACTGTGTTTTACTTCATTCTAACAAGGACTTTTTTTTTTGGCTTGTTTTAATGCAGGTTAAGCAAAATAAATGCCCATTGTTGATTCACATCAAGTCTCAAATGGCATAATAATTCTAATCCTGACCAGAATAGTGCATGATGAACTTTATATTTAAAAATTAAAGCAAGTTTATAGACTAATGGCAATGCTTGTTTCTAGCCCAAGCCAGAAAGGCATCTTTTCACTTACCCTGGCTCCATCATTTCCAGCTGTGCCTTCAGCACCTTTTTCTCCGATGCCACCCTGGCAAAACATAAAAATACCATTTGTTCATCTAATTGTGTTTCCTATACACCTGATGAAGCTTCATGAAAGCAAGGGTTTACTTGTCTTCTCTATCCCTGCAGGCTGGAATAGTACCTGGCTATGCATCTTCTCAACAAATATTTATTAGAAGGAACAGTAAACAATTGAAACTCTGGCTGACAGAAATAAAAGCCTGTTTAGGAAATCATTATCAGAAAATCTAAAAACATATGTTAGAAAGAATAATCAGAAAAAAAGGCTTACTCTATCACCCTTGGGCCCAGGTGTTCCTGCGATTCCTCTTTCTCCTGGCATGCCTTGAAGACCTGGAGGTCCTGTATCACCGATAGTCCCAGTTGGACCTGGATTACCCTGAAATGAATAAATAGACCATATCAAGAGACTATTATTGAACTGTACAGCAGCATGGTTGCCTAACAAAATCTGCATAATCACAACAGTAGTTGACATGCCAATGTGGATGGGGAAAATTTCAGTGTCTCATCCCTAGATGAAGAAATACAGGAAATCAATAGATTCAAGGGAGAAAGAACAGTTTTCTTCAGGGATGACCTTCCTAATAGGTTATCTAACCCCAAGTGGTCAGCTCTAAACACATATAACACACAAGCACCACTAAATGGACTCAGTGCTACATGTGTAT